ACTCAAGATTCTAGTGTCAGTAGCGTCGGATAGCCCGTGATTCTGAGAGGGGAGGCCTCCTAAATTCGAAGTCCTCTCTTCAATCCTACAACCATGACTATGGCGGTCGGATTCTTGTCGCTTCCTACAGAGCTCATATGTCACATTCTAATCCTTAACCCCAGGGACATTAGTCGCTGTGCATGGTTCGCTTTTCCCGTAGTTCCACAATTTCCTCCGGCTAATGTTTGATCATGCTAGACATGCAATATCTTTTGGCTTGCGGTCCGGAATTCTGTCCACATTCAATACAAGCTTGAAATTTATGCTCAGGGCTTGACTAGTACTGGGGCCGCTACCATGAATTCGACCGGCGTTTCCAAAAAGATTCTGTGTTCGCTCAAGACATTGGCATCTTTGTGGCGATCTGACTTCCATGCGACCACTACCTTTGAATCAGTGGTCGCTATTGCTGCCACTGAATATATTCCATTTTTACCCGCGATCCAAGATGTGAAATGTGGGCTTTGGTGGTCTTACTCGCTGGACGAAGACAAATTCTACATTCAGGATTGTGGCATGAATCCTACACTCTCCCGGACATGGTTTATCGATGATGTCGACCGCTTTCTTACTACCTTCGACCCTCTGCAGGATCTTATGGTTGTGTGTTCTGAGCATCATCATTATGTCGCTGTGACCGATGCGGAACAAGATTACCGTGTCTGTCGGGTGGAGTTCCGACTGGCTTCATCCCAGTGTCCACATCCCAGTGCTGCGTGCACTTCCTTGGAGTGCAAGCATACCTTTGATGCACTGCCTGGCTATTACCGTGCTGCTTTGTCACCGCCTGTAATCTGTGGTGATCGCGTATTTATTCTCTATTACATAGAGAACACGGCGGATGACTGCCATCCTCAGCCTGCATCCGGCATGTTCATACAAGTGATCAATTGGAGGGGGGGATATGTGAATAGGGTGAGTTCCCTCTGTTTGTGAAAATTATGCTACTCAGCATAAGCAGCATTTTTTATGTCAACTGCATATCTGCGAGATACATCTTTTCTATCCAGTTGATGAACAGAAGCTTGTCATCATTGGCCCAGAAGGCTCGATATACTTGTACACGTTACAAGGGCTCAATGGGTCGCCTCAGTGCCGAATCATATATCACCTTCCCAAGATCCTCCATCTATCATTATACGACCCGGAAATCATTTTTCATGGCCACCCGTCACTGCATGGCAAAGCAGCACGCCCAGGACTCATGCCGAGCTATGTACCCTCCCTGGAGTCGCAGATTATGGTTTTAGAGTTTCTTCTCAAAGCGGGGACATCTATCCTAGTCATCGATATCGCCATCTTCTCTGACATGGCCCTGCGCTCAGATATGCTCGTCGACATTCCCTGGTCAGATTGGGGACCTCAGTATGCGTGCTACTTTCCGCACCACGAAAGCTACCATATCAGCGTGTTTGGCAGCAAAATGGCTTATGCTCTTCCCCAAGATCATATTCGTGATCCTGGTCAAACACTGGAAGGGCTCTCCAGCGAGGGTTACTTCTATGTGCACATCTGGGACTTCAATAAGCGAGTCATTGCATGTTCGGAAAGTGTCAACGATCCTGACTCACCGAGTCTTCGCATTTGCAAGTCGGGTCAGATGATTGACTCCTTTGGTGAAGACATCTTCTCGAGTCGTGCATACATCGCAACGGTCTGTCGTACGCCATTTCCGACAGCTGGCTCCAGGATATTCTTGGAACAGGGTCGGCTTACTGTGACATGGGTACGTGTTCTTCGTTTGAACACAGTAACAGTCTGATGTGGCTGCGTTGTAGGCTCGGCATGATGAGATTAGTTTTCGGGTCATTTCCCCCACTCAGACGGAGGTTGGCCCGGACCTTACAGAATAGGCAGTTTGGAGTAAAACAGGTGGGACTCAGCGACGCCTGACCAGTTGGGGACCCAGGACACATTACTGGATGACGACGAAGATATTGCAGTGCTTCTATGCCACCGGCTTCCATCTGCATCACCCTGTGGCTCATCATGCTGTGGGCATGGGTGAGAGTATCAGCAGGAAAATACTTAGATACGGTAGCAACCAGCATGACGCTCAATATGAGATAGCTGAAAGCAATAACATTGGTACTTGCGCTAGTAAAGTTATGACTTACTCCAAACAGCTGTCCGAACACCCTGGGACCTCCTCATTGCGATCTAGACTTGCATAGATCCATGACCATGTACCGACGATTCGATTTTTTCGCAGTGTAGATAGCAGGAGCACTGAATTTACACACTTCTATAGTTCTCACGACTGCAATGTCACGGACTCATGAATTCACTCGTGAACCGGACCTTCGGAACTAACTGCTATGCAGTACTGCTGCCTCGATCGGTCCAATGGTAAGTTTTTAGTGACATCACCTGATGGCATCATACTCACCCGCGTTCACTCAGAGTTTAGGAAACGATGTAGCGCGCTCGGTGAACAGCATGACCGCATTCTTGGCGTATGCACTTCCGTCCTCACCTCTTTCGCTACTGACCATTATGAGGTGTCCTATGCTTCAATCTAATGCTGCAGCGGGTGCTGTTGGGAGTGACGACTCCTTGATCCGTGATGAAGACTATCATGGACCGCCATCGGACACCGATTTATAAAGCAACAGCGACTAGCAGCAGTGCAGGTAGACAACAGAGAACATGGACGTGGTTGGGTGTGCTGCTAAAAGCATTTATGAATGTCTGCTGGTATTTTAGTTTTATCGTCCATCTTGTTATGACATCTGCATTGACTTTACGATAGGCGATCAGTACATGCCGCACCACACAGTCGGTAAGGATCACGCCAGACAAAGATTTAAAGATTTAAACCTGGTGACGTATGTTGTGCTAGTGCGTGCATTGTTGTTGATTGATGTTTGAAGGGCTTGGTTCAACCAATCGCGCAAGCCCGATGATGTCCTCGTCGATGCATTGTTCCTTTCACGCAGAGACTATTGATGTGTTCGATTGCTACTATCGTTGTCTTTCAACGGGTGCTCCCCACAGTTCTGCCAATGACCACGACTTTCTTTCTTCCTACTGTCTCAGTTTGACAACAACAATGTTTACGGTGATCTCTGGTCTATCTACTTACGGCTAATCAAGAACCTCTCCATTGAACACTGTGCAATTAGCCCGCACGGTCGGCGATTTGGAGAACCCAATTTTATGGATGGGGGGCCCTTCCTACATAAATTTCTGGTATTTTGACGCATTGTTCACGGCGGATGAGTAGTCGGTCCAGGAAATGGCCTGACGATGAATATCAAATGCAATTGATACCCAATTCTTCAGCAATGATCATCGCAGCCCGCTCTCCAATGAGAAGTGCAGTCGAGTACGTGTTCTGTGTATATCGTGAGATCGCACATCAACAATCCTCTGTCCAGTACCCACTGTGCCAACGTTCAACGGCGAAATGGACATATCTGCAACCTTCAGGTTCGACACTCCATATACATTGAGCCGAGCGTCGACGACTCCCTGATCTGCCTCAGGTTTCATCGCACAAGTCCCAAGCTAACAAATACAAATATCAGATATGAAATCACGGAAGGTTCAGTCGCACACACAGAATGCCACGTCGTTTGCACTGATGTTCGATTCAGTATTTCAAGTACTGTGACAATACAGATCGCATGTCAGCACTTACTAATATCGCGGTGGAATCGATCAATCGCCTCGTCATCTTCGGTAGTGTAAACAATGTCTGGCGCATTCAAGTCCACTGGCCCGGAGGCTTCTCTGCAGGCTGCAGCGCTTCCCTCCGGGAAATCAGGATGGCCGGCAGCGACTTCACCTCGGTAGGAAGCCATGCGTCGAAGAAGTTCGCGTGTCTTTTTGTACCCGAAGTCAAGAGGAACAATATCAGATGGACTGGCCGGAGTGTCGTAGTCATGCAAAGTGCCCTAAAATGAAATGCGTCCACTCACTCATCTAGGAAGCCTGTAGTAAAGTCCATTTCTTCTTTTCCGTCCTCTGTCACGTGGATATGGACGCTTCCAACAGACACGGGGTAAAGCTATTGAAAAGGTTAACAAAAGAATCACAGAGTAGATGAAAAGCAATACTGTATAATACCCCGTACACATATACTTGCGAGGAGGAAGAACAAGCGGCCTCGAGAGCGGTTGAACGTGTCTGGCTGTCATGAGCATTGTCATATCATCAAAGCAATGCGCACACACCCTGCAAAAACACAAAATATTGCAACAGCCTTGTCTGGCCGGTCCTGGAAGAACTCCTTCCAGCGCGGTTGAAAAGCTGGATCCATGGCTTTCAACTCCTCGTCATCAGGACGCCACTTGATTTTTGCATCGAGGCCGCTGAGATTCCAATCAGCACGATGCCAGCAGTGATGATAATAACTTGCACTGACTTTTGTGCAATCAACGACTTGCCGCTGCTGTTCCATTCCGCAAGGCTTTCTGCATTTGAGTGGTTGTGAAGTGCCGCAATCGTGGGATGAAGCATGCTTACCCTGCAGGATACTGTCACCACGCCAGAGGGCGTCCATGGTAACGGCCTCGTCAGCAGCCAAGTATGGAACAAAGACGAGATTGTGATCTGACCGTCCTAAGCCAAGCAAGCTCTCGGGATAACTTAAAAGCGCACCTTGATAATTCTCTCCGACACCAGGCAAATTCACCAGCTGCTCGATACCGCATCGCTTGAGGATCGCCTCGGCACCGATCCCAGACCTCTCCAGAATGGTCGGGGAGCCGAATACCCCAGCAGAAATAACAACCAGTTTTGATGCTCTTACAATACTCGACGACTGATCCGCATCTGGGCAAGACACCGGGTCGCTGGCGAACTCGACACCTACAGCACGCTTGTCTCTTTCGTTTGGAGAAACAGTCAACCGTTTGCTAGGGTTGCGATCTCAGATGGCCACTTACTCGAAGATGATGCGTTTCACGCGCTTTCCGTCCCAGACTTGTAAATTCAGGTTGTGAGCTTGGTTGTAGACATAGTGGTGAGCTGCATCAGAGCGCCTTCCGGTTGTTCCGTCGATGTATCTTGTGTACATGAGCTAAGATTTCGCAATTGCCTAGGAGTGCAGGAACTCACTTCCGCCATGGCTGAGATAGATCTGGTTAGTTGTCGCAGGTAGGAAAGAAGCATCGTAGCTTACACTGTATGTATTGCATGTTTCCAAATCATCGGTGTCGTCGGCATACTGCCTCTTGTGATAGGTCGTGCCAACCTGGATGAATTCGTCGGCGATACCCAACTTACACCCACCAGATGAAACTTTGATAGGTCCGTCATATCCGTGAGTTGGACGATTGGGCTGCATCCCATATGTCTCCAGCTATAAAGCGAACGTATAAGTAATTCGAACGAATGTCCTGAAAACAAATTTGAGACCTTCTTCATGAGGGGAATCAAATTTTCAGATTCCCAACCATCGACTCCCCAATCATCAAAGTCCGAAGCAGGTGCACGGGTATATGCCATAACTATCTCATTATTAGATTATCGTTCACTGTCATTGCAAGTATGCTACGCACAATTCACACATGAGGCTCCACCAACGCAACGACCGGAAGGAACGATCGGCGCACGGCCGTTGAGGCGAGGAGATGGATTTCCCTTGTGGAATGTGACCGTGGTGCTCGTCGGTGCTTGGTTGAGGGGATATTGGTATGGTTGGACATGTATAGGTTTATTGAGGGTGTGTTGACCCGCTTCCAGAATCAAGATCCTGAGCGAGGGATCATATGCAGCCAAGCGACCTGCGACAACACAGGCTGTAGCACCACCTATACAGAAGAATGCATAGCTTAAGAGGGGAAACCACTACAGGATTATATCTGCTCACCTCCAGCAAAAACGATGTCGAATTCTGACAGGATTCGCTGAGACATTAATGTGGAGGGTTCCTTTCAGATTGCCCCTCGCAAGTTCCACTTTATAACCTTGACAGAAGCGATGCCTATCTTGGCGCCCATCGGGAACTTGCGACTTCAGTCTGCTTTCACTACTAGGCGAGGTTTGAACATGATGTGAGAAAAACACGGGGTGCGTACGTGTGTGATACTGCATGATTATAAGAGGGATGCTCCATTACGACTTTCGAACGACAAAGTCATTTTAGAATCGAGCATCCCTGAATGTGTGGCATTGCGGGTACCCCCGACGCATTAAGCATTAGCGACGTTCACACCTGGGAGAGCTTACGGTTTGTTGCTCACAAAATTTTGTGGTTCTTTTGTATGTAACCGGGTATGGAGAACCATGATCAACATATATGCAAGCAGATACTGCTCATGAGAAGGAAGTTGTGCCTCGCAAGTTGCTAATAGTAACGTCTTCAATAACTGATTAACGAAAGTACTCACCTCCTGCAGACCAGGCTATCGCTCGTATTGACGAGCCATCGCAACTATCCAACTTAAGTGAATCACGTTGGTATGCGAGCTTGCCTCGTCACATGCAGTCACGGCCTGCCAAGTATCAGTTAACCCGCTATTCACAGTTGGCAAATTCGTATATCCAATGGAACGGGCACGGACTGCAAGGGAACCAAGGCCAGACCTCTATGGCGGGAGGCTACGGCTCTGTCTATCGAGGACAGACTACGACACACGCGAGGACTACCGACTACGAGCCAGGACTCCTGCCACCGCGCCAGGACCCCTGCCACTCCCGTCCTGTCCTGCCAGAGCGCCCCGCTACATATGCCACCCCTCCAAATGCAACCGTCCGCGGTTGCAAGACGAAAGACGAACGTGCGGGAGTGCGGAAACCTGCGCCAGACCACCACCCTGGTACACCTCCCCCCTCTCCAAATGCAACCGTCCGCGGTTGTACCACGAACGACGAATGTGTGGCCGCAGTCCGAAAATGACGAGAATGCGGCGGCTGAACGAGACGGAGAGGTTTTTGACACCGGCAAGTAGGACAATGTGGTGTACTAGTAGCATGGTGGGAAAAATGATATGGCGAGTTGTCGAAGAATGTTGGATAGCGTCTCAAGTGTGAGTGATGTGGGAGTACTGCAAATACTGTGTGAGGGAGTTGAACATGAGTCCGCAAACGACGACGCCGGTACTGAAGACTGGACCATGGGTTGCGACAGGAAGTGCGAAGGGCCGAAAAATCGCGCGAAGGTCGAGTCTGAGCAACTGTGTAGCACACATCATCTGCCCAAGTGGGCGGGGCAGTATGAAGGTTAGTGTTGGTGATTGGCGAAGACGGTAGATAGGATGGCAACAGTACAGACGAACTCCATGCCTTCAACTGCGCAATGTCAGCGTCTCGACGATTCCTATCTTCCAACTTCTCACGACTCCGCTGGAGCTTGATGCTGGGAACTCGTAGCACATCTTCAACGAACTCGTCCCATGTTGAGTAACTGCATGTTAGGTGGTCCTTGAGGAGGTCGGGGATGCCCTCGAGCACATCCTCAATCAAATCTCCTTTTAAATCTCCCATACCCAAAGCAAGTTGCGAGATCTCAGTTGCCCATACAACATGCGCAAAGTTGCCGTTGGGCGCCAATGCTCCAATATCACCCTCTTTCAGTGCATGCGCAGCCACGCGCTCTCTCTGCTGCGCACGAGATAACTTGGGCGGTTTCAGAAGTGGCCACCGTTTGAAAAAAGCTATCGTGAGTGCCGCAAATGTGGCAGTTTGGACTGAGTTGAGTGACTGGAACCACTGGTCTGCCATTTGTCCGGGCACGAGTTGCATAGAGAAGCGCCGGACACGCTGAGTGTCGGTCCATGTTGTTGGAAGGGAGAGCTGGAATTCTGTGAACCACGTAGACGGTTCCTCATTGCCGCTATAGTCACCATAGAAGAGCGGGACAGGTTCTATAGACATGAATTTGAAATTCGGGGACCAGAAACCAAGAGAAGTCGAAAAGTAGACCGGAGCAAAAAAAATGTGAAAATGCGAAAACCAGGACTCAGATCTCAGATGTCAAGCACGGGGAGCGAAGACCACTCTCATCACCAGATGGAACGGGCACGGACTGCAAGGGAACCAAGGCCAGACCTCTATGGCGGGAGGCTACGGCTCTGTCTATCGAGGACAGACTACGACACACGCGAGGACTACCGACTACGAGCCAGGACTCCTGCCACCGCGCCAGGACCCCTGCCACTCCCGTCCTGTCCTGCCAGAGCGCCCCGCTACAGCGTTGACCTGCGGGTTGAGCATATTCCAGGTCAGCAGAACGTCATCGCTGACGCACTCTCACGGTTTCACAATGAGCTCGTGAAAGATCTCGTGCCTTCGGCGCAGATTTTTGACTTTGAACCCCCTCGGGATGCGCTGGGGGTGGCAGAAAAATGATCCGAGGTACCACACAGTCCAAGCAACCCGTGCGGGAAGCTTGGACTCTCGAACGCTTACAGCTAGAGCGTTCACTTGCCCTTGGCTGCGCTATTGAATCCACCACAGCTTCAGCTTACGACTCGCATCTAAATTCCTATCTCAACTTTTGTCGACTTCATCACCGGGAGGTAGAGCCAACCACATAGTACAGTAACTTATACCCGTATTAGACGGACAGCTGAGGGTGACAATGTAGCAATAGAGGCGGGCCAGCCCATGTGGGCCCATGGCAACAATTGTACCATGGTAGACGAGTGGGCTGCAGGGTTGTGTGTACCTGTTGCAAACGGATGGGCCGGTGGTATATAGTGTAGATGGTAGTATAGGAATGTACTATATAGGATATCTATGTAAATAGTAGTGAATGCAATGAGCTATAGAGACGAGTGGGCCGGCTGAATGGTGTGCAATGTAAATGAGTGGGCCAGGGAGATGGGTATGATGGGGACGAGTGGGCCGGGGGTATGAAGTGCAATGGAGACGGGTGGGCCAGTATGCAAAGTACAATAGAGACGGGTGGGCTGGGATGAGAAGTACAATTGAAGACGAGTGGGCTGGGGGTATGGGGTGCAATGGAGACGGGTGGGCCGGTATGCGAAGTACAATAGAGACGAGTGGGCCGGGGGTAAGGGTGTAATGGAGACGAGTGGGCCGGTATTTGAAGCACAATGGAAGACGAGTGGGCCGGGGGTACCGGGTGAAATGGAGACAGGTGGGCCTCATGATATTCCACCCGGTGGATAATGGAAATATTTGCCGGTATGGATGATACAGATGAGCCGGAAGAGTGTTGTGGGACAGAGGTGAAGGTGAGATGGATGATACAGATGAGCCGGAAGAGTGTTGTGGGACAGAGGTGAAGGTGAGATGGATGATACAGATGAGCCGGACTTCCGGTGTGCGAGAGGTGAAGGCGAGATGGATGATACAGATGAGCCGGACTTCCGGTGTGCGAGAGGTGAAGGTAAAATGTATGATACAGATGAGCCGGACGTCGGCTGTCCGATTGAGGTGAAGGTGAAATGGATGATACAGATGTGCCGGACCTCCGGTGTGCAAGAGGTGAAGGCGAGATGGATAATACAGATGAGCCGGATGTCCGCTGTGTGATTGAGTGAAATGGATGATACACATGAGCCGGAAGGGCGTTGTGTGATATACAATGATGGAAATACCATCCAGTATAGCAACATTCTCACTACTAAAATGCAGGTTGTGCGATTATATGATGCATTGTCTTCAACATTGAAAGCACCAGAGCTTGACAACACAATGTAGACAACTAGTACATACGAAAACATGAATGATATAGACTAGTATTATGTCGGCCCGTCACCGGAAGGCTTGCTTGGATACCTAGCACTCACTGACCGACCTTGGTGCGATAGAGGTCCAAAGCGCGGGCGTGGCAAAGGAGCTGAGACGGACTGGGCATCAGCCGGCACATTTGATGGCCCGGCGACCGGGAGAATAGGAGATTGCACAGGTGGTGCACCAACCGGAGGAACAGATGGGCCGGATTCCCTCATGGTCAGTGAAGGGATGATGGTGGAATTGGATGGCACCCGGTTGTGCCTTGCGACCGGTGATCCATCTGCAGTATCACCCAACATATCACCACCGGTCTGGGCACCCATCCAAGAGACATCCGGAGTGAACACATTGTTGGTCACAGTGCGAGCAAATGCACTGATAGATGGGTCATGGGCTGTCATGGGGGGTGGATTAAATGCCGGTGGAGTTGATGCTGTGACCTGAGTAGATCTTTGCTCCCTCAGATACCTGACAATACCTCTTACTTCAGCCGTGCACTCAGCAAGGAGTCCCTTCTGCACACGCATATCCCGCCCTATGTCATCAATCTGCATGGACATGGCGCTATCAGATGCCTCGGCGATGTCCATGCGATTCTCCAAGTGATCATGCCGGACGTCAATTTCCATTCGATCGTGTGTGCGCAGTTCCTCCATCTCGATGCGAATTTGGGCCAACATGGCCTCCATCTCATCATGAGAGAGAGGGTATTGGGCGGAATGACCAGGTCTGGAAGGAGAGACAGGAGAGGGATGGTTGAAAACGACCGGTAACGGCGAGAACCGGATATTGTCCTCCGAGGCCATGGCCGGTGATGAAGGTGGCATCTCATCATTGCCAGGCTCCACCCAATGATCAGGAGGGAAATCGTGTGCGGATGCCAAAGGGGCCGGTTGTTGTGCAGAACCGCCGGCAGCAACCATCTGGACATCATCGACGTTGTCCTCCTCTTCGATAGGACTTGGGTGCCGGATATCCTTGCCTACAAGAATACATCAGAATGGACAAGTAACCGGAAACAAAAGACTTGCCTTTCGCCTTGGATTTCCCACTCATCTTCTCTCCGGTGGCTTTGGACCGGATGGTCTTGGAGCGAGTGGCTACTGCGACTGCAGGTGGTGCAGTGACGGTGATGGGGGTAATGGTGTTGGCAGAGGTGGTGGGTGCGCTCTCTGTGTTAGTCCGGATGCATGCCATCTTCCACAGATAGCACAATGAGCAAGTCGAGGCGATCTCGCCTTTCTTCGTCAATTGGGGGAAACACTCGACATTCTTGGCCAGACATCTATCACAAGGCGGATGGGGTTCATCAACGCGGGGCTATGGAGAATTAGTATGGTGAAGCATGGCATTGACCGGAAGACACACTGGTTCTGGCACTTTGCCCTTGCTGGTGGCCTTGCCCTTGGGCTGCATGGACTATTCAATAATGTTAGCGTTGTATATCACCTGTGCTATGACAAGCAAATCCTACCAGTTTTTGCCGTTTCCCTGGTCTGACAGTGGCCTGCATCGTGATGAGTGATAGACCGGTAAATGTGAAGTAAAATAATGAACTTGCCTTTGGCCTGCCTTGTGTATCATCATCCTCATCCTCCAATTCATCCTCTTCATCGTCCTGAATCACAACCCGCTGACTTGCCTTCGACGCACTGCCCTTCTTTTTGACAACGATGACAGCCTGATGAGTTGATTTCCGGGGCTGCTTGTTGCATTAGTAACGTTGAATATCTCAAGAAACAAACACACCTCAACGTCCAGAAGATCATCCACATCGATCCCCTCGCCATCCTCATCGCCATGATCTTCCGGTGCCTTTGCCTTCCCTTTCCCCTTCTCCTTCCCCTTCCCCTTCCCCTTTGCCTTTGCCTTGTCATTGTCGGTAGTGTCAGTGTCAGACAAAATTGCCTTCGACTTTGGTGCAGGCTTCCGGGCCCGGTTGACACGGGGCAAAGGGGGGCTGCTGAGCCGGCGTTTCCGGTTTGTTGATGTCCCGGCTGTTGCTGTCCCACCGGGTGGCACATCTTTAGGTATGCGAATGCTGATGCGTGGTGCCGGTGTCGGTGCAGAGGCCGGTGCCGGTACTGGAACAGGTACCGGTGGTGGGGCAGGTACCGGTGGTGGGGCAGGTACCGGTGGTGGGGCAGGTACCGGTGCAGGTGCAGGTGCAGATGCAGGAGCTAGTGCAGTCACAGGTGTGAGTACAGGTTGCATGAGGAGGAATATCCTTACCAGTAGCTGCAGGTGAAGCAGGCGGTGCATGACCCAATGTCTTACTGTACAATGGATGCTTCATGCACATATCCTGATTGTTACCAAGATGGTTCCAATCCGGTACTACCACCAATTGTGAGGTGCGCCTCTGAGCGCGAAAGATCTCAGCTGCAAGTGACAGCAGGCCAGGGGGAACATATGAAGCGTCCCTCCCATATGAACGAATCACGACATTCTGGGACCCTAGTATCAATACAGGCAACCGACAGGACGACAAACATACCACTTCACGAGCAATCTCGTGGCTCAACTCCATTTTCTCATCCTGAGACTGCGACCGGAGAACATCTTGAACCATGTCATCGAGCCGGGCGACAAGAGCGATGAGAGCCTGGTTGGCAGCCGCAGCAGAAGCAGATTGAGAAGACATGATAGTGAGACGATTACAATAGAGCTAGTGGACAAGTCACCCGGAAGAGACGTGTAAAACAACAACACTTATAAAATTTTCAATCACCGGCTAGCCGGGCCGACTCGGACATATCCGAGTCCATTGTTCGCCTCATTGTTGTCAGTCTATTTTTAGATATAAATGTCTCATTGTTGACACGTCATCAGTAATCAATTGTTGCCAACCAACCTGTGAGTACATCATCCGGTCGCAGCCTTCTGTAGAACATGATTCTTCCAGTGATATCATGAAGTCCGTGGATTTGTACGACCCATTCCAGAAGAAAAGAAGGATGCGATCATCGGCGATTGCTCAGCATAATCTACATGTATCTAGTGAGGATGTAGGTAAGAAACCATCACCTCCCACAACGTACCGGTTGATATTATCCGGCATCCCAGTTCATAGCATCTTGGAGCCAGGGAGAGAGGAGCGCACTTACTACAACCCTTTCATGGTTTGTTCAAGCATGGGTGAATGTGAGTTCATCTCATGCTAAGCGATGGTAAGGACAATTGATATGAATTTTAAAGATCTAGATGTCCTGTCAGCCCATGATGGGTTGCAAGACGGTAAAAGATTGAAGATGAACTCTGAACCGGCAGATGACGACCGGTCACTGGACCTGGGATTTCCTTTGTCAGATTATGACCAGATGACCGACAACCACGACCAACAACAATCAGACATGTTGGATATGCAATTTCCCACCTTGTCTGATGATGGACCGGTCAAATGGTGAGATGTTGGATTTGGGATTTCCTCCACAGCCGGATGATGAAGATGTGCTTGATTTGGGCTTTGATATTGACCTCTGTGATCCGGCCGGCAACACAGGCATGTCGCTGGAATCTACATCTCATAAATTGACACTCATTTGAAACGATATTTGACTAGAAGACGGGGCTCTTGACATGGGCTTCGGCACATATCTGGCAGATGATTCGCTTGATAAAGGGACTAATATTTCACCGGAAGAACACCCTTTAGATATGGGTTTCGAGATGGATCCGGTACGTGTTGATCCGGATCAGTCTTGTAAGCCTTCTTGCTGTTCCCGAGATTGTTCTGATCATTTAAACTTAGTCGCCGTCAGTCGACAGGATCCAGTTGGATATGTAATTCAACGGGCTGTAGGTGATTTGCGCGAGGCAATGCACCGGTTGCAGATTGACCGGGCTGGTAATGCAATGTCGCCGGACGAAGCCTTTGCTAGAGAGCAAGTTCTTGACTGTACACAAGAGTTATTGTTGGCATGTCAACTGATGTCGATATCTCGACTTTCAACGTGAAGTATATATTTATAGTCAAATGCTATCTACACCTATCACTAGAATACTTGCTTACAACGATCCAAATTACTACGATTGCATATACTGAGCTTTATAAGAGGCCTTTGTACTTCTATGAGAGCGCTTTGGCTCTGGATTGGTTGTCTGTGCTTCAGATGCTTTGGCTTTCTTGCCGGAGTCCCTTCTTGGGGCAGGGGGTGTTGGTTTGTGCACCGGTGCTTTGTTAGTTTTATTCTTGGCATAGACACCTGATGTAGGGCCAAATGCACGACTTCTAGAAAGATGTTGCGAAGGCAGAGGATCATTGTCATCATTACCGGTTGATTGTGCAGAACCGGTGCTGGTGTTGTCTTCTGCCTGTCCCCTTCCACTTGCAGTCAGCTTTGATTTCTTGACTGGTGGCGGACCATCCGACTCCAAATCAGATTGAATGGGAGCAACCCTACCCCTCTTTTGGGATGATTTTAATTTAGGTGGTGGTAGGACCGGTATGGATCTCTTGACCGGTGGGCGAGTATCTTCCTCCTCTGAAGCCGGACGAGTGCTGCGGACGGTATTGGTCCGCTTGGCCTTTGAAGTTGGTTGTGGGACAGGTATGGATTTCTTGACCGGTGGGCGAGTATCTTCCTCTGAAGCTGTACTAGCCCTGCGAACGGTATTGGTCCGCTTGGCCTTTGAAGGTGGTGGTGGGACCGGTATGGATTTCTTGACCGGTTGGCGAGTATCTTCCTCCTCTGAAGCTGTACTAGCCCTGCGGACGGTATTGGTCCGTTTTGACTTTGAAGGTGGTGGTGGGACCAGTATGGATTTCTTGACCGGTGGGCGAGTATCTTCCTCCTCTGAAGCTGTACTAGCCCTGCGGACGGTATTGGTCCGTTTTGCCTTTGAAGGTGGTGGTTGGACCAGTATGGATTTCTTGACTGGTAGGCGAGTATCTTCCTCCTCTGACGCCGGACTAGTGCTGCGGACCGTATTGGCCCGTTTTGCCTTTGAAGGTGGTGGTGGGACAGGTATGGATTTCTTGACCGGTGGGCGATTGTTGATAGATTTTGACTTTGGTGGTGGTGATTGGAGGTTGTCATCGTGATAGTGATCGTCGTCCTTCTCCTCATCTTCATCATCCTTGTCCTTATCCTCACTACTAGACACCGGTTCCACCCCCTGGTGCGCCTTCCGGTGGACTTTTTCACTGGAACCCTGGGTCTCGCATCAGAACCATTGCCAGAGATTATCTCTGCCGGTTCTCTCATTGTCTTATCATCGCCTTCCCAGCCTTTAAATTCAAAGGTTGGGCGAACCTGGTCCTTCTGTCTTTGACACCACAACTCTAACAGCCGGTCAGCATCAGCCAGCCGAATCTTTGATGGATCGTCGAGCCTCCAGCCGGTAGGTAAAAACTTGGCTGCAATAAAGTCACCCTGAGCCATCCTGACTGAGGCCCAAGGAACAGACGCCTTTGGTTGTTGGCTGCACAATCCTGAAAAATTGCTGGTCAGCAGATCAACTCTCCAGATGCATCATTTGTGAAACTGACTGTAGTGCTTTGTGAGGAAAGTCCTTATAAGACGCTTTTTGCTCTCTAGGTTAAGCTCTGTGACGTCCGGTATGACCGGCAGCCCATAGCTATCCACCTCCAAAGGATAATCGTCCTTCTTTCCACCTTTCTTCCTGCTCTTCTTCACCTCCTCTTCGTTATCATCGTCATCATTATTCAGGTCAACGTCTGGTATCACCCCAGGTCAGATAAGTACTTGACTGAATGGCGCAAGATTTTCAAACAGAAGCTCACCAAACTCTTCACCAGCATAGGCATTCCACTCCGATAACATGGACTTCCAGTCCTTCGTATCGGTATAACTATTCCCCTCCAACTTTTCATTGAAGTCAATTCTTTCAACCGGATCAGTATATCTTTACCGGTTGAGTGTGAAGCGGAACTCACCCATTGATCCGGACTTCGTCTTCCTCTGTTTTCCATGCTGACAATATGAAAATTCTCATACCGGCCTGCTTCCACAACTTTGTTGCCAGATCCTTCATCATACCGGGTGCTTTCTTCTTTGCAAAGTCCGCCTGAACAGCTGCAGGAGGAGCCTTGGCAGACCACTCAATCGCAGTGTTCTGAGCCTCCTCCAGCTCCTCTTTAGATAGACTGGCCACCACTGCAGTGAGTGTTGTCTGATATCTTTCAATAAATTTCTTCGATCCTGGCATTGCTCCGGTCTTTTCAATGATCTCCTCCTTGCGCAGTTGTTCTATGACCGACCGGGAAGTCCATTTCTGACCGAACTTGTTGGCTTTCTTTTCTCGAGTCTTTTCAGGTCTCCGGTTATATAACCAGTCCCGGTACGTCTTGATACATCATGATATAAGTCGGTCATCATGTATAAATTTAAAGTTCTACTGCTCACATATTTCCTGTTCTTCAATGACCGGTCATCCATAGCAGGGGCATGCACCTTGGCCTCTTTTATGACGGCCTTCAGAATCTTTTTTCTATCGTTGGCAGCTGCTTCCTTCCATTCTTCTAGGTGGGATTTCAAGACCAGCACCTCTTCATCGGTTAATTTCTTCTGCTTGGTCTTTTTTGGGCTATCGACTGATGAGTTGGACCGGGGCATGGCAAAGTAGTTGAGGAGCAGTGGACGTCTTGATAGAAGAAAGGATGCATGTGTATCTCACAGTAATAGGTTACATAACCGATGTACGTGACTGCAAACCGAACAAAGGATTGTCCAATACTCGTTCATTGGTATGAATCCCTCAACATCCTATGTGTTTCTGATTCATAGAATGTAGAACTGTAAAAGCATATGGACTTAGACCTGTATTATATAGTATATGGGCAGCATACAGCCCTCAAATACTGGATACCGCCCTGTGCAATCATATTCCACAACTTGCTCAAGTAAGTATAATCACAAATGACTTTGAAGGCCAGCATGAATGTGGACATTAACAGCCGGTGTCCTGAAGATCAAACCAGAAGCCTGTTTGTCTCTAGAGTTGGTTATTTGGTTTGAACTGTTCTCTCAGAGCATGTTTTGCAATGCCAGTGCCCTCGACTAAAGTTTAATCAATGTATTGACTTTGCCAGACTCGTCAATAATCTAATCGAAAGAAGTATATATTGCTGCCGAACCCTCGTAATTACCTGAATGATTGTTCTACAGCCAACAATCCAGAATGCTGGCTAGAAAGAAGTATTTAAACATTGAAATGTAACCTCCGGTCGATGTACTTTATCCAGTCAATTGTCATGTAACTTGAACATGAAATCCATGCGACTCGGGTTAATGGGAGGATTACGGTGTTTGTGATGTCATGCAACTATGGCAACCTCAGTGACTCCAACCTTAATATATCCCATACAGGTGACATTGCAAGATCTTCGGTGAGATCACAGGAACAATGTGGTAATCCCGACCGGTCAAACCATTCGGAGTCTGAACAACACCGGATCAATTGGTCCCTTGATGACTGGGTAGTTCAATGACTAAGAAGGGAAAATGTGGTAATCTCGACGGTTCAAAATCCCCGGAAACTGGAATTGATGGAAGGCACCGCAGTGAAGTCATGTGCTAGGCTACCAGTCATCAAGTTTACAGCACACCGATCCTTTCCAGTCAATATGGCAAATACCAAACAAAAGGGAATCACATACACCCCTCCTACAAAGAAACGATTACCTCAGCTGTATAAGCTCAAGGAAAAAACTACAACCAGGGGATCGAGGTCATCTTGGGTGAAAGATTCATGGGCTAGGAAAACAAAGTCGGTAACATCATCACCAATAAAATCACCCTCAAAGCATAAATCTGGGTCGCCTCACTTGCTCTATGAAGGTGCTGACTTTGAGTTTGACCAAGGTAACATCCCCCAGCCTAAATTTCCAAAATCCCAGGCAAGCAACAGTTATCTTCATTTCCCCGGTCTGACCGGACCATACAGAGTCAGAATGCATATCTCCGGCAATGGAAATGCAAGTTCAAGGACTACATAAATTCACTCATGATCAGAGAAGCCCCACCAGCCAACCGACTTTGCTCAGTCTGCAAGAAGGATGGGGTGTATAGATGTCATGGCTGTTTCAATGAGCCACTCTTTTGCACAGACTGTTGCAGAATTCAACATCAAAGACATCCATTCCATCGCATCAGTCAATGGACCGGATCATTTTTTCAAGAAACTTCACTCATTAAAGTTGGCCTGCACATTCACCTTGCTCACGACGGCACTCCATGTCCCAGCAGCACCGATGACTCATCAGACTTCTTTCAGTGGTCAGATACCGATGACAATATAGATGACGATTATCCGGAAGGACCTTTCATTCAACCGGTCAGAGACTCAGATCGTCCGGCAATAACTGTAGTAGACAAGTCCGGCGTTCACTCCCTTTCCATATGTTATTGCCAATGCCCCAGTGCTCTCAGCCGAGACATACAGCTCTTTCAAGCAGGCTTGTTTCCGGCGTCTTTCACCAGACCAAAAACTGCATTCACATTCGCTGTCTTGGACGACTTTCTGTTAGACAATCTCGAGTGCGGTACATCGGCCATGAATTACTACAGCAAAATTCGCAGACTCACCTCTAGCATCTTTCCACTGATGGTTCCGGTGAGCTGGGTTTTATTCTGTACTTCACATTCTGGTCATTAAAGAACGATATCTGTAGGATCGCTATAGAGAGCTCATGAGAGCTGCCAGGCAGTGGCGACAATGCAAGCTCTACAAGTGGCATGGATTTGCCCACAAAGATGACCAGCCAAAGGATGGTGATCTTGCCCTATTTTGTCCGGCATGTCCGCAACCGGGTATAAACTTGGACCTGTCTACCAGTACAGTCGCCCAGCCTGACGATACACCTTCCTGGCTCATGACTAGGTATTTGGTCATGGATGGCAATTTCAAAGCCGAGCACATGCATCCGGTGAATCCATCCGATGAAGTATCATTAATGGATGGTCTGGGGTTCATGGTCTCCGATGAAAGATACAAGAGCCATTTGGCCATTGCTCAAGACAATGTCCAAAGGTCGGATTGCAATAATCACCGGGCAGTAAATCAAGCAAACGCCTCGCGGCAAAGGCTGGAAGCCACCGGTATAGGAGGATGTGCATGTGCACGGCATGGATGTTTTGTCCCACATTCCATGGTTGACTTTCAGAAAGGCGAAAGGTCAGTACATATTGCATCCGGTCACATCAATGGATGATCTTACAACTCTTACGTGGAATAATCAGGCAGATGAACATGGACTATGCATTAAGTCAAGCTCTCAACTATAAGACCGACGGAATCTCTCGAGCCATCACATTCTACGACATAAATTGTCAGTATAACAAGTATTTGAAGGACCGGATCGCTTCCAGCATGTATCTTTCCATCCCCATAGGTATGGATATCATTCCTGGAATCGGTTTGTGGCATGTACATGGACATCAAGACAACTGCTTTGTCCGGTATGCATCAAATTTTATCCATGGGACCGGCCGGATAGACGGAGAGATTATGGAAACCCTCTGGGCACCTTTGAATATAATATCTCCATCGGCCAGGGGCATGGGAACTCCCCATCGCAAGGAGGTATTGGATTATCAGATGAATGATTGTAATTTCATGAAAATGATTCGTATAAGTAAGTCACCCACCTCCAGATGTGCGTGTGTTGTCGGCGCTCATACAATTCATGTCCGGATGGCACGTCCGGTAGCTAAGTTTCTGTCCAGAAAATTCAAAGAGGCCATCAAGGGGGCTTCGGAAAGCAAACTTGCTTTTGATAATCTTAACGAGACCGCCAACCCCGACATGGTAGTTCTTTGGAAGGCAGAGGAGGCATTGGCTCATGCAAACAGAGCAGAGGATCCTACGGCTATGGACATCTATGAGGTCCGGTTGGAAAGAGGCAAGTGTCCACTTTTATTGGCTGTCCGGTAGGTCTGATCATGAGGTCGTGCAGCGCCAACAAAGAAACAGCAGGAATTGCGCCTGTTGCAGGCTCAAAATCGCCCTGAACATCCGGTCATCAACCCTCCGGTCGACGAGGAGCCGCCACTTGGCTTGCAACCGGTCTTACCATAGAGGAATCGCAAATATCTCTCTGCAAGGATGTGAGAAGTTTGCGAATGCACCCAACGGACATGCAACTGTTGAGAGTGGCTCGATGCCGGGATAAGCTTCACACTCAGATCACGAGCTTTCTTGAGATGTCACCTACTTATCTCGGAGTTGGAGTCAATGTCAATGATCCGGATTGTCTGGTTACTGTTTGTAACTCACTGGATGATTGTGAAGATTACTCCGATTTTGACGAAGATCAAAATCCTGATCTGGACGTACACAATGCTTCCATATTTCAACCGGAGCTCACTGTCATACCCCTACCATCCAACATTGGTGCAGTGAGGTGCAGGGAGTTAGGTCTCACCAATCTCATCAAAGAAGAAATTGCCCTCCGAGAAGGTCAGGCCAATGACGCACTGCATGCCATTAGAGTTCATTTAGGAGATAAAGCTGTTTTATTCCGCAATACTGTCCGGTCAGCCAAGTCACAGGCTTCATCTACTAGGGCATGGACTCGAGTTCGCTCAGTTGAAACAGCAGTCAATCTCCATGCTCGTATATATTCGAAATGCCGGTCGCAACTGGCCAAACTCCCTGACCACGACCTCTTGAAGAAATACCTTCCTTTGAAGAAAGAAGACCTGAAAGCCAGCTCTGCGGTGGCCGATCCAAATGCACGTGGTCAGAGAGATACCACTCTTTCATGGTTCTGGTCCTTGGATGTTCAGGGAGACACATCAGGAAATGACTGGATGACTGAATGTGTGTCTAGTGTTTCTGATTATGAGGTCGTCGGTCACATGTTCTAATTATAGTTTACCGGGTTAATTGGCTCCGGACAAAAGCACTGCGCGATCGCTGGAATGAGGAGGTTATTCTTGTCAAACACGAAATGCAGTGGTCAATTAATTTCTTCACCCACAGAGCCAAGCAATGGCTCTGTCACATGCACAATGCTACTTCTGCAGGGCTCACCGGACATACATGTTATGCTGCCAGACAATCTCACATATATGACCTGCTGGCAGCACATGCAGAGGATGCTTTTCGGAAAATGATCGTTGGGATAGAAGTCCCAGTTCCGGGTTAGTTGCATAATTGTGATTACCGGTTGATAATATATGAACAACTAGCGGCATATGCAGAGGATGCTCTGCGGGAAATGATCGTTCGGATAGAAGTACCGGTGCCGGGTTAGTTACATAATTGTGGTCACCGGTTGATAAGACCTGTGAGGTAATATACCCTTGTGTTTGGCATGTAAATATTCCCAGTGTGCCGGTCACACCATAGCCTCATATTCCTCTCCATGGACAATACTGTAACTCTCATCCCCTCCAACCAAGTCATCATTGCCGCCAAGGGCAATCACATCACAGCTGCAGATATCTCTCGTGCCCTATTCTATGCCAATTCCCGGATGCTGGCCATGCGCCTGTATGTCGACAAGAGTTTTGCCACTGCCATACCTGGTTATGCAGAGACGTTCTACACCCTGATGAAATGGGAGATGGAGGTAGGGAGCCAGCCATGCCGATACTCCCATGCCCTCATCCTTTTCTCTGACATAGACCTTTGCAACACCTTTCATCAATATATGTTTTATCACCCGGTTGTCAGCTACTATTCCTCAACTTCTCAAGGATGTGCTCTCAACCATGACTGCTCACACATTGGTTGATCGGCGACCGGATGTCAATGCCATTTTGCAGGATATCCGGGCATTGCGCCTTTCTGCAGATTCAAACAAATCCGATGACTATGACATTGCTCACATGCCGGACTACTTCAATGACTGGTGGAAGGAATCACTTGGTTGTTGCAGGGTTTCAGATATGTTGCCCAAGTCATCTGTCCAAGATGTTATGGATTTGGTTGAATGGCACTTTTCACACCTTGTCAGTCCATAAGATCTTGTTAACACCGGATGCACCAGATGCTCACACCATTTATTACAGCCGGATCATGTGAAAACTGGTCTTCTCCCATATATTGTGCGTGGTCCGGATAATGCGCCGGATATAATTGGTTCAAGATCTGGTGTGCCGTGCCACCAGACAACGATCGGGAGAGAGTTGCTGGATATGTTGCAGACAAGGATGATGAATCTTAGGCGATCAAGTGATAGGTTGACCGGATTGGTTGGGCCGATTGATGAAATCACACGGGCTGTGTCATCCTCACAGGCACTCATTGACCGGTTACATATAGATCACAGTGCATCCACTTCACAGTAAAGTAGAACCCAATGTCCGCCGGTATCCTGCCAATCTTTTATACCATCACGTCATATTTACCTGAATGGAAATGGAGTCTGTCTATGCAATCAGGTCGTGTGAATATGGGGCTATTTTTTCCAATGGATATAACAGTGGTGCTTTCCTGTCACTTAATTGTTTCGGCAAGCCATGGTTACAATTCCACTTGACTGGGCCTTGTACCAGACCTACCTTGCCGGTGAATTGGTGCATGAGATTTTCACATCTACAATTCTTCACCGACCGGTAAAGGATATGGACCTTGGACTCTTGGATATCGACACTTGTATTGCTTTGGAGCAGCTAGCCTATGTGATGGCCACTGCTTACTCTAACGCCGGTATGTATTCCGGCACACCTGTCTGTTCTGGTCAACTAACCTGCAGAAAGTTCATCTTAAAATAGACATGGTTAGATACAATGACGCCCTGGACAAAGATGAATCCGGTCGAAGTGAGACACGAGAAGAGGTTCTTTTGAACAAATTCCCCCCTGAAGAGGAGCACCTCTTGACAACACCATCTGTTGTCATTGATTCTGGCGGTAGAATCATTGTCTGGTATTTGCCTGGAGCACTCACCTCTATGATGATGGTTGGTCCTTTATCCTTTATCCATTTCCAGTTGTTCTTTTATCTTACCCGGATGCATTACTTAGAAAGATATTCACGGTGCCACACATTCCATGAGTGGTTTGTTGAAGCATAGCATCACATCAGGCAAGATTTCTCAATGGAGGACCCACCGGTCAAACTTCTATACAAGTCCAGATGGAATGATCACCCCCGGTTGCATCAATATATCTCCTGCATGGTTTCAGCAAGGAAGAGAGGTGCGTCAGGTCCACATGCATTGAAATCTCTGGTTGGAAGTATTGTAGAAACATGGCTTCCCGAATCTTGACCCGGAAGATGGCTTCTCGCCGGAGGTATCAGCGGCACTGAAAGGTGCTGCCGGTCACAATATTACAGCATCCCTTCAAAGGTCCGGTATCGTTGTCTCTGCTGCACTTCGAGTCATGCACCCTGATCTTTATTGGGCCGGAATGGAAACTCAAGTCAGGCTTGGTAAATGGGCTGCCAGATATGAGTTGAACGAGATGCACCATCATCTTCAACGCTGGACATCCGTTTTTAATGTGGTATCGATCATATGCAATCGCCGGACACCCCCTCATAGAGATCCTAAATGTCGACCGGCAGCATTTGATATCATGACTACTGCTGGTGTTTATCGCCCGGTTATCATGGATTTCATGAACCTTGGAATCAAGTTTCTCTACGACTCTGGCTCAATATTGGCTTCATCATGTCGACTGGTGAGACATTACATGAACGTGGAAGAGGGCAACAGGATTGTCACTGCATGGTACATGCGAGACAGCATCCACAATTTTGTTGGGACTCCGAGCACGGAGTATGCAAAATATGACCGTGTAGATATTTAGCAACTCCATGTATTGGGCCACATATATTGCTTGTCAATCTCGTTTGATATCATAGACGTACTGTATGGGTATAGACCCGGATGTATATATGAGACGGACCGGATGTTTATTCCCGGTTAATATACTTTGTATGCACCGGATGAGGCATCATGCCACCCACATCATATATTCACCCTATCCCCCGGCCCACTCGTCTCCGGTTAGTATACTCTGTATGCACCAGATACCCCCTCCATCCCACAACGCTCTTCCGGCTCATCTGTATCATCCATCTCACCTGCACCTCTATCACGCAGCGGACATCCGGCTCATCTGTATCATCCATCTCGCCTTCACCTCTCGCACACCGGACGCCCGGCTCATCTGTATCATCCATCTCACCTTCACCTCTGTCCCACAACGCTCTTCCGGCTCATCTGTATCATCCATACCGGCAAATATTTCCATTGTCCACCGGGTGGAATATCATGAGGCCCACCTGTCTCCATTTCACCCGGTACCCCCGGCCCACTCGTCTTCCATTATACCCCATACCCCCGGCTCACTGTCTTCCATTATACCCCATACCCCTGGCTCACTTGTCTTCCATTGTGCTTCACATACCGGCCCACTTGTCTCCATTGCTTCACATACCGGCCCACTGTCTCCATTGCACCCTTACCCCTGGCCCACTTGTCTTCCATTATACCCCATACCCCCGGCCCACTCGTCTTCCATTGTGCTTCACATACCGGCCCACTCGTCTCCATTGCACCCTTACCCCCGGCCCACTCGTCTTCAATTGTACTTCTCATCCCAGCCCACCCGTCTCTATTGTACTTCGCATACCGGCCCACCCGTCTCCATTGCACCCCATACCCCAGCCCACTCGTCTTCAATTGTACTTCTCATCCCAGCCCACCCGTCTCTATTGTACTTTGCATACCGGCCCACCCGTCTCCATTGCACTTCATACCCCCGGCCCACTCGTCCCCATCATACCCATCTCCCTGGCCCACTCATTTACATTGCACACCATTCAGCCGGCCCACTTCGTCTCTATAGCTCATTGCATTCACTACTATTTACATAGATATCCTATATAGTACATTCCTATACTACCATCTACACTATATACCACCGGCCCATCCGTTTGCAACAGGTACACACAACCCTGCAGCCCACTCGTCTACCATGGTACAATTGTTGCCATGGGCCCACATGGGCTGGCCCGCCTCTATTGCTACATTGTCACCCTCAGCTGTCCGTCTAATACGGGTGAATTCACTGAAGGGG